CCCACCACCACTTTTTTCATATTTTAATGCTTTGCTAAAAAATTGTTTTTTTTCATCTTATTTCAATGCTTTTCTGAAAAGTACTTGGGACTCGGTATCGGCAGATACTCTAAATCAAATGACTTGGAATCAAATCGGGAGCAAAAACCATGATCGGAACATCCCTAACTGTAATAATTGTTATTTGTCCCTGACAATCAACATTTTTTTCATCAAAGGTTCACAATTGTATCAGTAATCATGAATAGAATATTAACTATGGCAAATTCAATTCTATTCTAAAACTATTCTTGTCATGGTCTGTGTCTGCGTCTCATCTCATGTGCCTCCTTTTGTCCTCCATTTGTTCTCTAGGTGCTCCTTTTGTTGTCCTCTAGCGCCCTCATGTGTCATGTCTGCGTCTCTATATGGTGTGTTCTGTTTGGAGACCTTTTTATCATCCCCTCAGGTCCAGTGTTCATTTAGTTATCCTCTGTGCCCCAAGTTGCTACTCCTGCCTCTTTGTCCCCAGCTATGGTGTGTCTGTGTTAATCCTTCCTGCAGCCTTTAGGTTTAGTTTTGTGTTTTAGAGTTTTTTTGGTTAATCTGCCCTCCACTGGTTCTCTTCCCCATTCAGATAATTGTTGTCACCTGCCTTCCCTCCAGCCTCACTCCACACACCTGCTCCTTGTTTCCCTAATTGCTCTTCCCAGTGTATTTAGCCCTGTCTTGTCTCTGTGTTCTTGTCGGTCCATTGTTGCTGTCAGTGTGACGTATTCTGTCAGTCCTGCTCGTTCCTTTTAGTGTTTTTGGATCTCCTGATCATCCCCTGCATTTTTGGACTTTGGCTTCATGCCCCTTTTTGGTTTTTATGTTCGTTTTGGGTTCATCCTAAAATAAAAGGATTTTTCTTTATCTACTCCTGCCTCGTGCCATCCTGGGTATCTGCATTTTGAGTCCGAACCATCCTCCATAACGTGACAGAATGGACCGACCAACCAGGACCCAGCGGATTACCCGGATGTACGATTTTTATGGTGACCCGGACTCCTGTCGGACTTTTATCTTGGAATTGGTGAGGTTTTGTGGCCCGGACATGTTGGACACAGAACGGATTATTAAGATGGTGCTCCACCTAAGGGGAAGAGCCCTGCAATGGGCCAGCCGTTACCTCAAGCAATATCCCTTAGAGGAGTTGGATTTTTGGGATTTCGCAGACGATCTGCCGGACGCTTGCAGCAGCCCACAAGCTCCCTCCTTTGCAGTGGATCACAATCTGTCAGCAAGCGCCATTGTAAGAGCTGCCCTCTCAGCATCTTCCAAGCGCCACACCTCCCCGTCTCTGACCATCAGAACCGGCTTTGTCTCCTTCTCCCCTGAACCAGTTGGCGCTGTCTCAGCACCTCTGACGGGCTAAATCACCACACCCTCACCTGATCCTGACAACGCTGCCTCTTCATCCCTGGTGGGTTGTTATTCCTCTTCTGTTTCTGCCATCTCCACACCTCCGTTGACCCAAGACCCCCCACGTCGATGACGCGGAAGCCGCCGTCAGGTCTTCTGGGGGCGGAGCATCACATACAGTCCCAGAGGCCCCGGTTCTGCAATCCAAGTCTGAGCTCCACCTGCCTTCGCCGCATCCGGCGGTGGTCCTGAAGGTCTCACCGCATCCTGTCCCGATGGTGGTCCCGCTGGACGCATCGCCTCCTGTCTCGGCGGTGGTCCCGGAGGACGCATCGCCTCCTGTCTCGGCGGTGGTCCCGGAGGACGCATCGCCTCCTGTCCAGCCCTTCCAAGAGGCTCCGGTCCAGCCCGTCCAAGAGGCTCCGAACCATCCTCCATAACGTGACCATTCTAGAGCGCCTTTATGGATGCTCTTGTGGTCTGCCTGTATCTGTTTTTGTTCTACAAGTTTACGTGTGTAACCTTGGACAGGCTGTACTGCAGAGACTAATTTCTATACTTCAGGATGCTGGGGCATTGACAATAAAGTTGATTCTGAATATGATATTTTTTATAGCACAACTAACTGAAATTGTGCCCTTCTTTTGCACTGCATACTAATGGAGCAACACACCATTACATAAAAAAGTACAAAATAAAATTACCAAAATATATTTCAATAGTATTTCTTTAGATACAATTTCTTTTCCAGTGTAAAACAATTACCTTGTCCAAATAAATATTTATAAATCACCAAAATTCTCCAATTTGTATTAACTTTTCATTGCAATATATTTGTTTTTCTTAGCAGAACAGTTTAATACCCCAAAATGTATAAATACTCATAGATTGTATTTTCACAGTAAACATCAACACCATTAAATTTATCAGAAGCATGTGTTTCTTTAGAATCACTCAAGCTTCATTTGCAACACAAAAATAAAATACATGTATCCTTCTTAATATTAAACTTAGCTTTAATCCGTTTGTAGTGCATTTATAATCAAAGTAGTGTCAAGGTCGATTTGCACCTAAGCTGGTGGCGCAGAGCAATTTTGCTCCATTTGAAACCTTGTGCATCCTACCACAGTCAAAACTGGTCATCTCTGTAGCTACATATTAGCATTTCATCCCTTAGCTTCAATTTTAACCCAACCCCGGTTCAACTCACCAACACGTAATGCTCTGCTCTGAAAAGGATTCGGTCCGCTTTATGTGTACCCATGCGAATCTACAACAATTAAATTTAGTCAAAACTTCATGAGTTTCATGTTAACCATTAGCTTCCAAGCTAGCTCAACCATTAGCTCTTCTCTCTACTCACCATGACGGCTCCAAAGCTCAAACTGTTCACGAAGAAGACAAGTCTGCCTCTCCAATGTTCACACAACCTTAGAAGTAGTTTCCCGCTCAATTTGTCTAGTTTAAAGTCGCTTTTAGTTATTATCTCACAGTGAAGGTCGGTAATGGCTTCCAGCATCGACATCTCCGTCTCCTGTTTTACAGCGCGCGCCCAAGCCCGGTAAAAAAGGAGATGGGACTTGTTTGTCTTATCCTATAAAATCTACTTTTTGAAGTTTATTATTTCCAGAATTACTTTACTTATATATTATTTCAGGTTTAAACAACCTAAATGCGACTGATTAACATATTAATGATGAAATTCTATGGGTTACACTTGGTTAAACATTAGTTAATATTTGTATGTGTCTTAATGGAGAGTTGTGTTATATTTTAAATAGTCCACATTGTAATTGAAAGTAATTTGGTTAAAGACTGTTTATGATAAATGGCATCATTTTCAACCTCCAGTCATCTCGGGAGCGTCATCCCAGTGTGCTTTTTGTTGAAAGTCTGTGGGTTTTCTATCTTGGCAGATATTCTGAAGCTCAGCCAAGCTAAGTGAGAATGCTATGCCATCTGAACATTTAGCAGAGATGCTCTTTTAGGTTCAATTCTAAACTCTCACTGGGTCACTTCACAATGTTCATGTGTCTGATCAAAGCCGCTGGTGTTCTCCAAGTGTGTTAAAGCCAGGTTGGTATCTCATTGAAGCCCAAATTACCTTTGCACATCTAAATTAGTTTTAGAAATTTTGTTTATTTTGTTTCCCTCTGTCTACTTCCCCAGCTCTTGCCTAAGGAAAAAAAAACTCTCTCCTAAATGACCAACGCATATCATCCCCTTGATTGAAGTGGGAGTTGTACTGATGAAAGAGTTTACTTCACCCACGCTGCTAACAACTGTAGTTAAATATTGTTCCATCTTTTATCTGACAAAAGGATTTTGCTTCTCATAATCTGATTCATCCACTCTCCCAAACATCCTCTTTCTTCCCATTACTCAGACTTAAAGGGCTGTTAGTGCAGTGCTGCTCAGTCGGTGGTTTTTCTTTACCACTGTTTTTGTTCATTTTCATTTTGACCAAATCACTCCACCCCTAGAGTTATTTTTTTTCTGAGTTAGTCAGTTTAGTAAAATATTCTGTAGCATAAAAGGTCACAAAAATTCCTGTCACTCTTCAGCTCTGCGCTTTGACATATTTCTGTGAACAACAGACTAGACAGCTTTGTTTGCATGGACGTGCATTGTTACCCGTTAGAGCTTTTTATAAACAGGTGTGTGCTCTCTTAATTATGTCCAGTGGATTCAATTAGGCAAAGAAAGGCTACTGTCAAATTGTAGAAGCATCAGCAGGATGCACTGAGCTCAGTCACCTCTGTAACAATAACTTCTGAATGTAAATAGGATTTTTACTTCTTTTTTATTTAAATAAATAAAAATGGTTAAAGTACAATTATTGTACTGCATTGGGAAGAAATAAAGAAAAAGGAGAAAAATGTGAGGAATTTTAAAGTTTTGCCCTTTTTCTCTATATAAAGTTAAGGAAGCAAGGCATCTTTATTTGTATAGCACATTTAATATACAGAGGAAATTCAGTTTGCTTTCCTGGAGCAAGAACAGCAAAATCAGCATGGCAGCAGAAATAAAATACACAAATAAATGTAGATAAAATTAAATACACAAATTAAATTCAGATTTAAGAATCTGTTAAAAGGCAAAGTTAAAGGGTGAGCAGTTACAGCGCAGAAGGTGCAGCATAAGAAACATTCATTAAAGGCTTATGAATGCATGAGGGTTTTCAATTTTGATTTAAAAGTTGCCAGAGTTGGGGCACATTTTAGGTCATGAGGAAGGTGATTTTATCTGTGAGCAGCATAGTAGCTAAAAGCAGCTAAAACATGTTTGGTTCTGACTGGGGTTCTACCAGCTCACTGTTTCCTAAGGATCTCAGAGCCCTGCTGGGCATAGATACAGGAAGGAGATCTGACATGTGTTCTGGCCCCATGCCATTGTGTTATTTATACACTAGTAGAAGCACTTTGAAACTGATTCTGTAGTTTACTGGTAACCGTGTACATATTTAAGAACAAGAGTGATGTGCTCGGTTCTCTTGGTTCTTGTTAAGACTAGCAGCAGCATTCTGAATAAGCTGCAGTTGCTTCACATCTTTTTTGGGAAGATCCGACAAAAGATCAATATTTTTTTAACATTTTTTGTTTTTTTATTCTCATCAGGTGTACTTTAAGCGTGATGGCGAGTTGATAGAGGTCATCTCCTACATCGAACCCTCTGCCATGGAGAAGGTAGGAGGCTCAGCAGGCGTGAGAGGAGCCAGGCCACTCATCAGCAGAGACCTTGATGACACCAAACTGCATCGGTCGCTCTCCCTCCTTGATCCCGAAGGCCGATCAGCCCGCCTGTACACAGAAAGCCCTCAGCGTTTCCACACTCAGGGCCAGCAGGCCTATGAGCCGAGCCCTGCCACCGAGGTCATCCCAGAGACGGTAGTGAGCCGGGAGTTCCCCCGCTGGGTGCACACCACAGACCCTCTGTACTACTTTAGTCACACTCACATCCCCCAGAGCGACGGTTCTGTGGTTGTGCAGGCTAGGCTCACCTGGACCCTCAACCCTCAGCTGGATAATGATGCTCTATTCAGCTGTGAAGTTAAACACCCAGCACTGTCCATGCCCATGCAGACAGAGGTCACTCTAGGTGAGCATGTTTTAATTTTTTCCTCACCATGTTTTGCCTATTTTGTCTCTATTCCGCTCTTAAACTCCTGAAACTTGACTTCAAGGACGTGTTTATCTGCTTTTAATCTTCTGCTATCTCGCCTGGAAGCCAACTCAGCTTTCTTATGTCTCCCTTGCAAATGTATGCAGAACTCTGATTCTCATTTGATGCTGTCTAATTGTGTCACAGCTGAGCAGATTGGGAGTTTAGCAGCAAATGCACAACTTCAAGTGACTGACAGGCCAATTCATCGAGCTGCCTGTTACTAGACTGAGTTAACCTAGGACCGTTATTGAAAAAGTCAACCTGAATTAGGGAAGTCAAATGAGAATTTAGACACACTGGCCAATGTTATATAAACGGACAGACTATTTCAGAGATGCTGCCCTTCATTGAACACCTTGCTGAAGTCCCCCACACCTTCAATGAGCCTCAGAATGCTATTGTTTTTATTCAAAGAAGACAAAAACACTGTTGTCTCACCTGCAAATTAACCCAGCCACAGAATATAAGATTCATAAACTAGTTCCAAAAGAACGGGAGTCATAAATGAACCTCAGGTTAAGTTTTAATGGTGTGTGTGTGTGTGTGTGTGTGTGTGTGTGTGTGTGTGTGTGTGTGTGTGTGTGTGTGTGTGTGTGTGTGTGTGTTTGATAAACAGTTTGTGGTGTGATCCAAGAGTGATGCATACATACCCAGCCTTTTTTTTCATCTAAAAACAAAAATGGCTTCCAGCATATCCAATTAAGACTTCAAAGGAAATGCATTGGCATAGTCCTCCTGGAGACGATCCATGCAATCCTAACATGATAAACAAAGACAATATCTTCCACAAGATGTGAAGGATGGCTGAAGAGAGAGGAAAAGTCTGAATGCGGAGACGGCAGCGTCTCCATGTTGTCTTACTGTCAGTATTTTATCTTGTGTTACCAGCTCCCATCTAATTAACAGTCGCCTTTTTTCTATGCTGATGAGGCACTACGGTCACTCTGCATGACTCTACAAAAGCTGTCACTATCATCTTGTGGAAAGACTTGAAGAGCTTGAAAGGGCTGTGTGAGAACACTTTAAGTGTGGCTCTGTGAAGTAGTTATCAGTGAGTATCTCACCTGCAGTAGACTGCAGTCAGAGCAATGTCACTGTGCAGAAACGGGGAGAAACTCCCAAATCAAACTAATGGCTGATAGTTGTACCGATTTTCTTTTTTAAACAAGTCAAATCTGAAAACTTTTAGTGTGAATGTGCTAATTCAGATCATCTAGAGATCACAGGAATGGCTTCACGTGTTTTGTTTGTTGATTCAGATAGTAAAACATCAGGCAGGTTTACATTGTATGAGATTCAGGGCAAATTCTGGGAGGGGAAATTGACCAGAAGATACGATCAATCAATCAATCAATCAATCAATCATCAATCAATCAATCAATCAAAGCTTTATTTATAAAGCGCCTTCCGCAACCCTGTCAGGAAGCCCAAAGCGCTGAACATGGTTCAGTTGTAGGTAAATATATTGAATAAATCAACAATAAAAACAATTCAAATTACAAAATACAAATTACAAAATAGATGAAACATTCTGGTACGGGACAAATGTGTAAAACAATGGATTGAGTGAACCAATGAAAACTGTGAAATAAATTCAACATAAAAGAGGGCCAAAATCAAACATGTTCTGGAAACGCCAAGCGGAGGAGGTGTGTTTTTAGGCGACTCTTAAAGACTGGCAGGGATGGGGACAGCCTAACTGAGGGTGGCAACTGGTTCCAGAGTGACGGTGCTAGGACTGAGAAAGCCCGGTCCCCACGGGTACAACACCTAGAACGAGGGACAGCGAGCAGGCCTTGGTCAGAGGAGCGCAGAGAGCGTGATGGGGAGTGTCTGTTCAGGAGTGTGGCCAGATGGGGGAGCACCACCCTGGAAGAAATGATAAACAAAGACGAGGATTTTGAATTGTGAGCGATAGCAAACCGGAAGCCAGTGCAGGGAGGTCAGAACCGGACTGATGTGGTCCCGTTTCCTGGTCCCAGTCAGGAACCTGGCTGCGCTGTTCTGCACAACCTGTAGGCAGCGCAGTGATGACTGACACAACCCTGCATAGAGAGAGTTGCAGTAGTCAAGCCTAGAAATTACAAATGCATGCAGTACCCGCTCCAGGTGGGCTCTCGACAGCGTAGGCTTGATTTTTGCAAGGCGTCTCAGGTGAAAGAAACTGGACCATCACTGGACCGGGATACGATGGCCCGGTCCTGTCAGCTGTTGTATCTCCATACAAATTCAGCTCTTTCAGGACTTTGCACAGACGTCAATATATCAAGACTGCTTTGGTGGAGAGTCATGTCGCTGATAGCGAAAAAGCATCCACAGTAACATTAAAAGTTTTATACTGTCCAAATACAACATAATTTAATCCATTCGGAGGACTGGGAGAGCAGCCACGTGATGTGTCCGTCCTGGCACTGGGAGATTGGGATTCAAATCCTGGTTGCGTCATACCAAAGAATTTAAAAGTGGGATGCAACGCCTCCCTGCTTGATACTCCGCTTTAAGGGGTTGGATTGGGGGGTTAAACCACCAAATAATTCCTGAGCGCAGCCACAGTTGAAGCTCACCACTCCCCACAGGGATGGGTCAAATGCAGATATATAATTTCACCCCTGTGTGATGACCAAGCTTTGACTTTAACTTGAATTTCACCGTGTTTTTTGGTTTTGGGAGTTTAGTAACTGCGATTTTTAAAGCAGCACAATCGCTGCTTATTTGCTTGTGCTTCTGTTCTGTTTCACAAGCAACTCTTTTAGTTTTACTAATGCCGTTTTTTGGATGACTGCTGATGTCATTTTTCTGTTTTAGCGTTTAACAAAAAGAAGTAAAAACCAGCGTCCAATTCTGGCCGAGCAGTGATTTCCTGTGACTAATGCTTTCCTGGATTGGTGCAATGGACCAGACTTCTGTATTATTTTTATCCAAAATGAAGGGATTTGTTTCAATTGCTCCTAGGTAAATTAGTGTAAGTAACCAAAACCATGCCGTTTTTTTTGGATGACTGCTGATGTCATTTTTCACCAAGTTGCAAACAATCAATGTGAGTTGACCAAAGGTTTCGCTCAGCTACTGTGCAGAGTCTTTCTGAGTACCTACGCCTGTTCAACTCTGAAAGTTTTGGAAAAAGGCCGTTCTTCTGGCCCGGTGAAGTGGAGACATGCACAGGATGGAAATTTCTGGTAAATTTGCCATGAATTTCCAAAAGTGGAAAAACACCTACTGGTCAGTATTTACAAATGTTACATGTTTAAATTCAAATTTACAAATCAGTGTGAATTTGAATTTAAACACGTTTCATGTTTATTGTGCAAAAGATAAATGTAATATGATCATTTCTACTTGTTTTGGTCTGAGGGAGTCATTTTGACTGACTTTCTTGCTGGTTTTCCTGGGCAAGATAAAAATACATTGTCCAAGACTGGGAAGTTTTACAGACAATGAGCATCTCCAGCATTTAACCAGTCTTTCTCTTCCTTCTAATTTAGTTATTTTTGTATTTTATAACTAAAATATAGAAAATTTGACAGAGGTGTTAAAAATATGGTTTTGGAAAAACCTGACAGATCTACTTCACACTGTCACTTAGCTTTCATGGACTCACCCATCTCGACTAATAATGGGGAAAGCTGTTGTTGGTTTGGCGTCCAGGAATGTGTCAGCTAGCAGAAGCTAACTGTTAGCATTTGCAACTCCACCACATGGCAGAACTCCTTCAGGTTTGTGTTATTTGTGAAGATAAAACATCAACTTTACAGATCAAACAGAGTCAGTGGTAGTCACATTGATGTTAGCCAATCAGAGGAGAGATGTCCAAATATTAGGAAATAAGACTGCTCTGTGTCTGCCGCTAGATATCTTCAGCTCTCTTTATGTTTTTGAGGACACAAAGGCAGCACTGGCATCCTGACCAATCACAAGCTTGTGTTCTCCGTCTTGTCGGATGGATGTTTAGAAAAGAGTGCTCGACTTCGTCCATTCTTGCAAGCCAGCTGGAGAGCCCTTGAAAGGACGGATAATGGTGTTGCGTGCGTCTGTTCTGACGCAGACAGGGAAGTATAAATTAGGCATAAGGATTCAAACTGCTTTTCTCATCGTGCTGCTTAAACCGAAGACACGGGCATCAACAAAATTAATCTCCTGCTAAATGTCAAAGGTGTTCATACTTTGTCAAGCTTCTGGTCATGCTGCAGTAATGAGCATGTCACCACTCTTTTTTTTTAAGACAAGAGTGTTGGCATTTGTTTTATTTTATCCAAACTACCAAACAAAATAACGAAAAATGTGGATTTGTTTATTCTAATTAGATGATTTGACATTCAAAGCATTCATCAAGCTGCCCTGGGCTTGAACCACCTTGAAAAATGAATCATATTCCTTTGTTTTGTGGGGATAACATAGTTTAAAATTGCATTCAAGGTTCTGTTGATTTAAATTGCAGACAAAATGTGTCATCATTTTGGTTTTATTTCTACATTTTCTAATTCTAATTATCACTGAAACGGCCCGGCTATGGATTCTCATTACTAACATGTTCTATTCATTTATATTAGGCTGCTGTAACTGGGTAATTGCACTCATACACACCCTCTTGGCTTTTAATGTGTGTGTGTGTGTGTGTGTGTGTGTGTGTGTGTGTGTGTGTGTGTGTGTGTGTGTGTGTGTGTGTGTGTGTGTGTGTGTGTGTGTGTGTGTGTGTGTGTGTGTGTGTGTGTGTGTGTGTGTGTGTGTGTGTGTGTGTGTGTGTGTGTGTGTGTGTGTGTGTGTGTGTGTGTGTGTGTGTGTGTAGCTGGGAAATGAATGGGAGATCTTTTCACTGCTCATAAGTAACAACTCTTTCAGAGATTTAATATTGCCTTCAGAGAGCGAGCAACAGCCTGACAATTGACCACTGTTGTGTCAGTCTCATGCATATTCATGAAACACTCTGTGCTCCTCATACAAATGTTACTGAAGCTGGTGGTGGGCACTGGGGTCCAAATGTCCTAAATGTGGCACACCATGAAATTCAGGTGCTACAAAATCAAGTACAGAAAAAGGTGAACATTTTTATCCTGCCTTTCAATATCACTGTTGCATATATGACAACGACCCACAAACCACGTTGGGACCCATTGGTCCCGGTGTTCTATCAGAGCCCCTAGCTTGTAGCTAAAATTAACATCAGATTCTGCCAATAAAATGGCTCTGAAACGATTCATGTGTAAATGTTTTGCATATTTGTTGCAAAATCTAATTTTTCTGCTGCTTCAGTGCTGCAACAATGTTATATTAAAAATGAAATGATTCCTTGTGTTTTACTACAGCGTTGTTAAAGCTTCAGATTATTAAGAATGTGTTGTTTCAGCTGTGAAATTAGTCAATGGGATCGATGAAAAATAATGTTTGTCACAGACTCCATGGAAACTTTCAGAGAATCCACAAAATGTGGCGTTCAATCGGTTTTGTTACTGACAGATTTGTGTGAGTTTAGAAAAGAAGGAGATGAGACGGCATGTCCGACCAATTTGTTTTTCATCTGACAATAATAGAACATGTCAGTAATGTCTCCGGTGTTTTTACAAACACTGTATAACTAATACTCCTTGACAGGGTAGGAATTACACAGAGGCTTGTGGGGAGCCCAGTGACGGGGGGTGTTCTGTTTGGCCTTGATTTGACCACGATTAAAAGACTGAGGACCAGAGGACATGAACGATTGTGTGTTAATTATAGTTTTTGGGTTGCACATCTTTGAGAATGTACTGTGCGCAGAACGCAGCTGCCTGGAGCGCACCAACATCAGTGCTCTGCCGCCCTGTGTGCTCTCCGCTCAAAAGAACCCCCGGTATGCTGAGAGTCCATGAATGATGTAATATAGGTGGAAAAATGTTCCCGGATTTCCCTTGATGTGTAGGATATCCAGCTCCCCCATAATTTGATCCCTGCTCCTGGATGAAAAACTGGACATTTTCATCAGTACAATGTATTATTGTTTTTACATGTTATATACTCACCTACAGAACATCTTTATGTTCATAAATGTTACCCATCTCCCTGATTGACAGGACCTAGGTTTGACTACAGTGAATAATGTAGCAGTTTGTCACGGCTTTTTAAATTTGTTTTACTGCCTCTTTAACAAGAGCAGTCGCCCGGCTAATGTGAAAGGTTACCTTAAATCGGTTATACAGATGGGCAGACCTGTAGGTGTTTTAACTTGGCACTGAAATGCACCTGGAACAGGCTGCATCAATTATTTGGCGTTGTGTTTTTTCCTTTTGGGAGTGAAAACTGTTCTCTTTTTGAAGGTGAAGAATTCATGCCTGAGGAGATGGTCTCGTGGAACTGTTGCTCAGTTCCCCTGTGGCAACCTCACCCAGAACAGGCAGCGTTGTGCCCACCATACTCACGCTGTCATAATCAAAGGTGGTGACGTAGAACACCAACTGTCCCTGCTGGAGCTCGTCCCAGAAATTGGTCATCATCTTCCCAGCCATATGCCTTGCAAGCGCTGACTGCATGGCACCAATATTTAAAAATACCTCTCGGTGAACGTGTAGGAGTTGAGAAGCAGGAGCTTCCCACTGCTCTGCCAGTCTCAGCCTGTAAAAGCCCATCCATCTGACATTAGGACGAAGCGTTTAGCTGTGTCAGTGTCCGCATAATGGATTTGGTTGGGCTGCCAAACTTTTAAAGAGTTTCCATTTTGTCCAGAATTTTAATTCGTTATTTTTATTTTTATTTGTACATTTTTGTTAATGTCATACAAACTTATATTTTATGTTTATCTATTGTATGTATTGAGTGTAAGACTTTGATTGTATACCATTTTTCTTATTTTGTTTTTCCTATTTTTACCTGTCAGGACATTTTGAAAATATACTGTATGTTGATATTCTCATCTAATATTAGATGGCATGTAGTCAATAACTGCCCAATAAGAGCCTGATTTGTTATACACAGTGGACGTTTTATTACCAGATTAATAGCCCAAAAACCTGGGTCGTTTGTACGTCGTCTGTATATTAATTATTGTTTGTCAAAACAAGGTCTTGTGTGATTTATGAGTTCAAACCACATTAGCCACAGAACTTCCAGGCTTCACTGATTGGATACCTTCAGTTATTCAGCCCGCCGACTTCACATATGAGAGCTGCGATTGAACCTGCTCATGGCTGAATGTCGTGTACTTTTTCCTTTAGCAGGAATAAAATTATGGTTTTAGGACATAATGCAAATCCTTCGTTTCTTCTCAACCACTCGTGCACAAAGCTGGCTCCGACCCTTCAAAAATTCACAATATTGGACGCTGTCTGTTTCCTCTCCTACTGTGGCCTATTGTTTTAGATGGTGTAGCAACGAAAGCCATCTAGGGACTGCTGTCCCCACCAAGACGAGGGAATTAGCTCTCTGAGTGTCCCTTATCTCACTGCCTCCACACTCTACCCGTTGCACTCCCATTCTCCTCCAGTAATGAGTATCTACCCAATTTAGTTTCTTTTCTCTCCAAAGGGGAATAAATCCAGAACAGTCCTTTGGATAAAAGAACCAGCAGGTTCCTTGCCTCTCAGTCCGTGACCTTAATTGACAGGAAATTGTATTTGTGTCTCTCCCTCTGCGACATAACAGGTGTCCAGCAGGATTTGTTATCCATGATAAGCACAGTGACCTTTGTCTTATTTGTGTTTTTTCTTTGTATTCTTCTTCAGCTGCACCTAAAGGTCCTAAACTCTTCATGACCCCTACCAGGGCAAAGGTGGGGGACACTGTGCGGATCTCTGTGCAAGGATTCCAGGTAGGTTTGATCTGTCAGGGTTTTAATGCCAAATTCTTTGTACACTAGCATATATGTTTGCACAGTTAAGACTATTTATATTTACTGGGGGAAAGCAAATGCTTTTGTTCACCTTAGGGAATAACTTTTAAACTTTTTAGTTTTTGCTATTTTGCTTTTAAAAAACTAGCAAACGTTGACTTAAGGAGTACATAAAAACCTTTATATGTCCAACTTTTGTGTTTATGTAAAAATGTCTGTCAAGCCGCTATGAGGAAAAAGATCATCCTGATTTAAAACTTGCCCAAACTTAAGCGCTAACGTTTATATTTTCTCATACCTACATTTACACTATTTATGAAAAACTTTGTCACACCTGTCACCACACACGGTAAATTTTGGGTAATCAAGAAGTGTGTTTCAATTTCAATTCAATTCTATTCAAGTTTATCTATATAGCACCAAATCATGAAAAGGGTCATCTCAAGGCACTTCACATAATAAACATTCCAATACAGGTCAGTTCATTAAGCCAGTCAGAAAAAAGTTTCCTATATCAGGAACCCAGCAGGTTGCATCGAGTCACTGACTAGTGTCAGTGACTTTACAGCAATCCTCATACTAAGCAAGCATGCAGCGACAGTGGAGAGGAAAACTCCCTTTTAACAGGAAGAAACCTCCAGAGGATCCTGGCTCAGTATAAGCAGCCATCCTCCACGACTCACTGGGGATGGAGAAGACGGAGCACACACACACACACACACACACACACACACACACACACACACACACACACACACACACACATTTTCCAGAATTTCAGGCTAAATTCTGGGAGGGGGAAATTGAGCGGGAGATATGATGTTGTGTCCTTGAGCAAGACACTCAACCCACCTTGCCTGCTGGAGGTGGTGGGAGAGACCGGTGGCACCTGTGCTCGGCACCCTCACCTCTGTCAGTGCGCCCCAGGGCAGCTGTGGCTACACTGTAGCTCATCCCCACCAGAGTGTAATGTGTGTGTGAATGGATGAATGATACACTGTTGTATGAAGTGCTTTGGAGTCCTCTGACTCTGAAAAGTGTTATACAAGAGTGGGTCAATTATAATTTATCATAATGCAGCTCTGAACCTAATTCCCAATCTCAGTCTTGGTCACACAATCCTGCATCTAATCTATACAACAACTCCCACACAATGGAGGCTGACGCCTCATCAGGGGGTACGGTGGACTCTGAGGGGGTATTCATAGGTAGTTTCTGCTCATTAAACAATAATGGACAGCTACAGTTTATAAGCTTGACCCTCTCGAATTCCAGTCAGAACTGACAAAGCTCTTCGGATGAGAAGTGAAACATCTTCAACAAACCAAAGTCCAGTTGTCTTCTTTTGAACCCTTTTGGAGTAATCAAGGGCCACAAAGCTAATCAGTAAAAAAAAAAATTTAGCTTTTCTCTGTAAAGAATATGGTTTGTAATATTTAATAAAGTCTTCTGCAGAAAAACTACAATGAGAGAAAATATGAATAGCAGGCATCTATCAAAATAAGGATGAACCATTGTGTTAACCAGGCATTCAGATGCTTCTGCTTTTTCTTTTACCTTATTCATTAATTAGAAAATGCTGCTTTTGTTTCATCCTACTAAAAATAGACCTCTGCCGATGTTACGCCTGGCTTGTAGATAGTGATAGGTCTGTTAGACGGTAATGACACGTTAAAGCTGAGCAGCCCGAGCCAGTCAGTTAAAGAGAGTCGTACTAATCCTGATAGAGAACACATCAATGGCACACAGCACAAATCTGCTTTGTGACTTCTCAGTTACGTCTTGGGAATAACAAACCAGCTTTTCCCTTTTTTCCTCACTATTCTAGGAAAGACTTAATATTCTGTATTGTTGTTGCTTTAAGGCACCGAGCTATTGACCGTGCAGGTTTCTACATGTGTTTGTTTGCGTAGTGACCTTGAGATTCGTTTAAAGCCTCCATTTGAACAGAGTAAAGATTGGTTATTACAAACAGGCTTGACTGTGGCAGATAGCCAGTTCATCCCTTCAGCAGCAAAGGCATCACTACAGACTGATCAGAATGAAAATGTGCCATATCCATCTTCGGTCTTAGGTTTCAGGATTTCATAAGCAGATAAGAGCGTGTGCCAAGACTGATAACTTTGACTTTTGCCTTTCTGGATTTTAAAAATATATATTATCCCCATAAGTTTCATTATGTGTTTATCCTGTTTTTCTTCATGTTTTCTATATAACGTCATTGCTTTCATTGGTTGTTTGTTTGAGTGTGTTTTAACTGTTTATTTGAATTTCAAAATGGCAAGTATGTTAGCGTCACCTCCCTTAAGGTTTGCAAAGTACCATGACACTATCTGTAGGTCTTGAACTTTGATTAGAAAATAAGTTTTTATAGAAACCAAAGTTTAAATGCAGTTAACCGAAGTCCATAAAAGAGATGAATCACAAAGGTTATAATGTGAAGGTGATTATTAAAGCATTTTGTTAATGTGCCATTGAATGAGGAGGAAATAGAAATTTGTATTATTCATGTTTTCTTTTTTTTTGGACTTGCTTTCTTTGAGCCACCATAAACTCATCTTTCTTTTGCTTCTCTTCTTTAATGTCTCCATTGCCAATGGCTTTTGACAGAATGAGGTGTTTCCTGAGCCGCTCTTCACCTGGACACGGGTGGGAGGCCGCCTGCTGGATGGCAGCACCGAGCGAGAAGGGAAGGAGCTGATTCTGGAGAGAGTGCCTGCAGAACTTAATGGCTCCATGTACCGCTGCACAGCTCAGAATCCTTTGGGTTCCACAGATACACACACTCGCCTCATAGTCTTTGGTATGTCTACCTCATCACCTTAATCCAACCTAGTTGTTGCTCTAGACCAGGGGTGGGAAATCCTGCATGATTTTGTTTTTTTCCTGCTTTAACTCAGGTGATTGAACCTCTAAATCAGGAGTATTGGAGTAAATTTATGCTTCTCCGTCTGCATCGGTGGGGAGGGGGGGGGGGGGTGTCTAGGGGTTCTACAAAAATAATCAATGATTGATGAACAAGAATCTGCTTCTAGACCTGCAGAAAGAGAAAAAAAAGCAAAGGGGAACCCACAACAATACAACAAGAGCAAGCTATCACTGCGCCAACCTGATGAAGAAATATAAAATAAACATTGTTTTACCGAACAATCACAAGATAATAACTCACAGTGCATTTAGTGCCAATCACACCCTTAAGACATGTGTTAAAAATGCCCAAGTCCATATTTATGAGAGCACCATGTGAGCACCTGTGTGTGTACACGCGCTTGTATATGTAAGGTTTCTCTATAGGAGCGTCCAATAGAGAGTGTGAGGGGCCACAGATCTGCCCCCAAAGACATACAGAAGATGGAGGGAGCTCCAAGCCCCAGAGATCCAGGAGCTACACCAGAGCACAGGGACCTCAGGGAGACTGTCACCAGTCTCAAATAATTCTATTTGATTCATCCATCCATTTTCATGCGCTTATCTGGAGTCGGGTCGTGGGGGCAGTAGCCTAAGTCGAGAGGCCCAGACTTCCCTCTCCCCAGCCACTTGGGCCAGCTCCTCGAGGTAAATCCCAAAGCGCTCCCTGGTCAGGTGAGAGACATAGTCCCTCCAACGTGTCCTGGGTCTACCTTTAGGCCTCCTCCTGGTTGGACGTGCCCGGAAAACCTCACCAGGGAGGCGTCCAGGAGGCATCCTGACCAGATGCCCGAGCCACCTCAACTGGCTCGATGTGGAGGAGCAGCGAATCTACTCCGAGCCCCTCTCGGATGACCGAGCTTCTCACCCTATCCCTAATGGAGAGCCCAGCCACTCTGCGGAGAAAACTCATTTTGGCCGCTTGTATCCGCAATCTCATTCTTTCTGTCACTACCCAAAGCTCGTGATCATAGGTGAGGGTAGGAGCATAGATCAACCATTAAATCGAGAGCTTCGCCTTCTGACTCAGCTCTCTCTTCACCACGACAGATCGGTACAATGCCCGCATCACTGCAGATGCAGCACCAATCCGCCTAACGATCTCACGCTCCAGTTTTCCCTCACTCGTGAACAAGACCCCGAAATACTTAAACTCCTCCACTTGGGGCAGGACCTCATCCCAGACCCGGAGAAGGCATTCTACCCTTTTCCAAATCAAGACCATGGTCTCAGATTTAGAGGAGCTGATTCTCATCCCAGCTGCTTCACACTCGGCTGCAAAACCGCTCCAGCGAAAGCTGAAGATCATGTTTTGAAGCCAACAGGACGACATCATCTGCAAAAAGCAGAGACCTGATCCTCAGGCCACCAAAACGGATGCCCTCAACACCTTGGCTGCACTCCAACTCTCACTGGGAACGAGCCCGACTTACGACGACGAAAACCACATTGCTCCTCCTGAATCTGAGGTTCAACAATCTGATGGACCCTCCCCTCCAGAACCCCTGAATAGACCTTACCAGGAAGGCTCAGGAGTGCGATCCCCCTGTAGTTGGAACACACTCTGTGTCCCCCCTTTTTGACTAAGGGAACCACCACCCCGGTTTGCCAGTCTAGGGGGACTGCCCCCGATGTCCACGCGATAATGCAGAGCCGCGTCAGCCAACACAGCCCCACAACATCCAGAGCCTTAAGGAACTCTGGGCGGATCTCATCCACCCCTGGAGCCTTGCCACAGAGGAGCTTTTTAACCACCTCAGTGACCTCAGCAGAGATTTGAGAGTCCAACTCAAAGTCCCTAGACTCTGCTTCCTCACTGGAAGACGTGTCAGTGGGATTGAGGAGATCTTTGAAGTATTCTGCCCACCGATCCACAACATCCTGAGTAGAGGTCAGCAAGCACACCGTCTCCACTATAAACAGTGTTGGTAGCGCCCCCCCCCCCCCCCCCCCCCCCCCCCATATCCCTCCGAGTTGCTGGATGGTGGACCAGAATCTCCTCGAAGCCGTACGGAAGTATTGCTCCATGGTCTCACGGAACTCCTCCCATGCCTGGGTTTTTGCCTCGGCGACCACCTGAGCTGCGTTCCCCTTGGACTGCCAGTACCTGTCAGCTGCCTCTGGAGTCCCACAGGCCAACAAGACCTGATAGGACTCTTTCTTCAGCACAGACAATCCTGCGACCACAGCTCCAATCGGCAGCCTCAAAAATTGAGCCACAGAACAGGGTCCATTCAGACTCAATGTCCCCTGCCTCCCCTGGAACATTTTGGAAGTTCTGTCAGAGGTGGGAATTGAAGCTCCTTCTGACAGGAGACTGCCAGACGTTCCCAGCAGACCCTTGCGATACGTTTTTATTACATCCATATTACTTTAAAAATGAATCTGATTGAACTGAACTCTGTTATCAATGGTATAAATGTTTGATTAGTAGAAATGTATGTCTAATTTACGGAATAACTGTCTCTTGTTTTTAGGCACCCCTTGCTGGCAGGAACTAACCTCTAAGGGATTTTGTAACCATGCCATTATTACATGTCTACTTCTGTTCTGCTTTCAATGCCAAAAAACCAACCTTGGCTTAAAAGACTCATAATTAAACTCAAAGGGCCTTTGTTGTTGTCAGTGGTGGAAAACACACGTTGTTTGATGTTCAAACAAAGGTAATGTGTTAGTTGTAATTTGGACGTGTTTGATGTACCTGTAAAGTGGGGACTTCAGCTCCTCTGATTGGATTTGCTCTAGAGGCTCAAAGGGGATCTCAGTTTTCTGGAGCATCTTCATAAAGAATTTCAAACAAATAAGATCTGTTACAGACAGAACTGACTCTGTGTAGCATTGACTTGACTTGTATGGATTGCTTTCATGTTAAAATGTTCCCATAACTGACTTCTAAAAGTCAATATAGAAATCACAGCCAATTTGAACTTGGCTGATTTTAAATGACTTTATCATCATTTAAAGACGATAAAGCATAGAGTGTTGAAAACGTGGATATCGCCTTCCCTTTTATTCTAGGTATTGTGGATTGTGAAGTAGGTCCAAGTTTTACCTCCAAGCTTCAACTACAAAATGTAAAAAAAAAGCCACCATCAGTGCAGCCAGTGAGGAAACCACACTTCTCTCATTATATCCTGATTTCCAGTGAATATCCCTCAGCAGAACCACAGTATCAGCTGCTCTTGCAAATCAGATGCAAAATGCCATGCAAGAATTGCATTTCTATCTAACATCACCATCAACTTTGGATAAAGCAAGCCTAAACGGTCGCACGGCAGGTCGTCAGAACAGCTTAAATGAGCGCACATAGAGCCATTGGTGGTACTGCTTTGGGCACATTTTAAAAGTGAATGTAGCGTTGCATGAGACACAAAATTGTTTATCTTCCCCGGTCAAATTTTTATACAAATGTGCTTTAGCCTAGGGGCTCTTTGGGTGTGAAACATGACTAAACCTTAATTTTAACAGAGTGTTAAGAGTGTCACAAATGCACAAATTACTGGGCAGGTTTATCAAGAACCCACTTTAGGAATAAAGAGGCACTTTAGGGAGACATTTTGCCAGGGAGAGCACTAAAGTCTTTTTAAACACACCAAGGCATACTCAGGTGTCATCGACTATGTGTATAGTGCGGCCCATCTGTCCGTCTGCTCCTTCTCGATTGCCTCCACTCATGCTTAGAGGAACAAAATGGTGATTAAGTGACCTTTTGTCAAGGAATTGAAGAGATATTTAGAGGCACTGCTCCCTACATCAAGTGGTTGAGAGACACTGATAATAAATTGCAATGGGGACTTGGTTTAAAGACAAAACTAACAAGCTGCATTTACATCTTGACACTGTACAACTTTAGTAACCCTGAAGCTGTCAGTTATCTTAGTCATCTGGGATTTCTGGAGGAAGAGTCAGCCCAAGCAAAGTTTTGACAAGCAGGTATAAAAAATGCACCCATGTACCACCCAGGTATTCGTAAACTTAAGCAGACTCGCAAGGGCATGCAAACACATGGCCGTGCACTAGGAGTGCACACATTCGTTTCTCTTGGTGTCTCTGAACATGTTGCTCTGAATGATTGGTCACAGTAAGACCTGGGTAGTTTAACTCTGTCCTATACATGAAGCTTCTAGCTGCTCTTATACAAAGTAAAACATCCACAAATAGCTCACAATATAGGATTTAAGGGTGGCTGCTAAAACTCTGCAAACCCTCCTGCTCTTTTGCAATTACTCCATCCCTTGCAGAACACAGAAAATGTGCCGTCGGAGTGCTTTGTGCAGGTTATACATTGGTGCAGCCTACTAAATGTAGTCTCCAAACATTTTTTTGACTGTCTGCCCACAACTTCAGTTCCCCTCTCTGCTGTTTAAAGTGCTCTGGTGGTTCTATTGCAGTGTTCTGTGTTTCCTGGTCCATTAACAAGCCCAGGTCTTTCCCATCCGGGATGTTCTGTTCAGTGGGTTCTCCCAGAACTGTGGAATTCTGCTTCATTACAGACCAAACAACAGTTTATTAATTTTTTTCTCTGTCTTATTTTTTATATATTTTTTTCCCGAATATTAATTATATTATTTGCTCTAATGATGCACTAGCCATCTCTATAGCACCTGCAGTGTTTGATTACTGTGTTTCTTTTCTTATTTCCTAGAAAATCCAAGCATGATGAAGAACACACAGAATCTAAATAGTAAGTATTTCAGGCAATGACTTGACACATTCTGAGCGTGTGCACGTCCGGGTAATGAAAATGAATCATTCCATGCTTTCGTTCTTTTTAAACACAGAAACAGTTTTGTTTGCCTGTTTTGTAGCTACAGTTTTGCTGATGGCTGCCGGCTTCTTCAGGCTGACGCTGATGGTGGCGCGTCACTTCCTTCTCCGTTTATCTGCGGGCAGCAGAGGACGTTGTCGCCCTCTACTGCCCGCTCTCCCCTCTCCGACGATGCAGTCCCATGCGTGGTCCAGCGTGTAAACTCCGTCGTCCCTGTTCATGGTCCCACATCCACGTCTCCTTATCTCTATTGCTTCCTTGATCCATCTTTTGTATTTTTGTTGTTCGGTGGTTATGATCCGTGTGCTGTCCCAGTCCATTATATGGTTATAAACGGAGAAGGAAGTGACGCGCCACCATCAGCGTCAGCCTGAAGAAGCCGGCAGCCGTCGGCGAAACTGTAGCTACAAAACAGGTAAACAAAACTGTTTCTGTGTTTAAAAAGAACGAAAGCATGGAATTAGAAAGACACAGCAAGAACACACCTAAGAAAATGAATCATGTCGTAAGACTGCAGAAATCTGATCGCTATCAAGAATCTATTGAAGACACCATGGTTCCTGAGGTCATTATATTAAAAGGCGTATTTTTTGGTCTGTCCTGAATGCTTTGGCCCTTCTAAACTTTTAGTGAGTTTTCCAGGCAGGATTAATCTTTGACAGTGTTCAAATTCAAATTCAAAAAACTTTAATCATCCCCGAGGGGCAATTGTTTCAGTACAGACAATTCCAAGATCAGACATACATACATAGACACATGACAACAATTGGTAACTGTGGTCATTCGCAACACGAGTCGAGCTACCGTCATAGATCAAGAGGGTTTATAGGAGGATAGAGTCAGGGGGGGGGGGGGGGGCACTTCAGAGTTACCCCCGACAGAGAGGATAGCTTTGCTATGCAAAAAAAAAATACCTCAGACAAATATGCACACAGACGTAAGAAGATACACAACATAAGTGTCCACTAGGTGGGGAGTGGGGGGTTCAGGGACTCTCCTCACTTCAGAGTGCGCAGCCGCAAGAGCAGCACTCACCACCACATGCTCCCCTTTGGACAGGGGAGGGAAATTATTGGGTTAGAGAGCACAGTGACTCCTAGAGACGGTTCCACGGCCTTCACCGGTCACAGTCCCACCCAGGCTGGGATAGGGAGAAAGAGTTTCCATGGCGACAGCAGCATTCCACATTTCTTCTGAGGGGAGTTTACACTTCAGCCTCACAGGCTTCAAGGGCACCAAATTCAGATAGCAAGAATTGTTTTGGGTACAGGCAGAGATAAGTTCCTCTCTGCTGTAAAGTTCTGTCGGTCTTCAACCCCTCCAGATCCAATAATGGCAGCGGCAGCAAGCCTGCCCCCGTGACTAACCGTGCATGTCACTTTGAGCTGAGCATAGAGATTGTTGGAGTTTCATATGCACAGCGGTGGCTCATTTGCAGCTTCAGAGATTATCATGTGTAAAGTGAGGGATTGACAGGAGAAGCCACAGATACAACAACATATCCATCTCTCCAGCTCCTCTCTTTCTCTTACTTTCCATTGCAATCTTAATGTTGGTCTTTCTTTTCTTTCCCTCCATAGAAATTCACTCACCTCTGTTCTTCCACTGTCCTTTATTCCTGCTTAGTTTTGCAACTGTTTCTGGTCATTTTGTTATCATTTTTAACATCCCACACCTTTTCCTTTTAGCTTACAATCTCTGATTTTGATGGTGATTTTCAGTTATACTGAAACCATGAGAGGTGTGTACGTTTTGCTTTAGCAAGGGAAAAAAAAACATTCAGCTCTGGATAAATAACCAGAGTTTTGAGCCTTAACAGATGGGCTTCTGAAGTGTGAAGTGGTTCACGGCTCACCAAGACGGAAATTAGAGTGCGACCCTGTAGAGATAGCAATCAGAGCTCTGATACAGTGGTAAGAAAAAATGACTGAACTTTAACAAAAGACTCCTTAAAAGCTCATCTAGATTAGTAAAGCCCATTTCCACCCACATCCCAGCTATACTGTAAAACCCACTCACATCTGGCTTTTGTCTTCAGTCAGGAAGGCTATAATCTGCATTCATTTGCTGATCAAATGTCTGTGCTGTAGTCACAAGCAATACAGGCTGTGGGCCCCACAAGTCAAGATGCAAGTGGAGCACCAAGGTGGACATGTTAATGTTTGCTGTGTTAATGGCAGCAGAACTAATCTGACTTAGTTGTAAAATGTGTGCTTGCTAACCAAAACGGGAAATTCTAAAACATTTTTTAACATGTTTGCTTGGCTGCTAGCAGCTCATAATAGTCCTACTTTGTCAAGTTGGCTCAAACTGGCGTGAATGTGCCCAAAATGATAAAGAAGCCAAACTTTCTCAGGCTAGTAGGCTTGCCAGTTCTAACTAGATTTTACTATGGGGGGTCTAACTTCAGTACTGACAGGATTTTAGATAATTTAGAATACTTTTTGTGCTTCATAACATAACAAACTAAGATACTGTACAATCTAGTTTAAATTTGACAGTTTAACAGTTGTTTGAAACAAGCGTTTCTTTTACCATCCGGTTTGTATAGCAAAGCTCTTTCATTTATGTCAATTTTTTTAACAACAGAAAAAATTATAATTTAAACAAGGGAGACGTGTGCGGGGATCTCTTTCAGATTACACAAAGAAATGCATTTTTAACCCAAGCTTTTTTCCTTTTTTCGTTAATTTTCATCAGTGACGTCATTTATAAGAGCCGAAGAGCACTCAGGGAAAGCCTGATGGATATTTCAGCAATATCACACGAGAGGGAGTGCATTGTTGCTGAATATCAGCACTGGTGTGATTCGGTCGTATAATCACACCAGTGATTATCACACATTACTGCCACCTATCGACTGAACTGTGGATCGGCATTTCTCCCTCTAATCAGCCCTGAGCCCCATGCGTCACAATAGGACAAGGAGAGAGTTCCCTCCACGTACATACAGACGCAGGGAGAGCCTGCCCAAGCGTCAGTATAGGACGTGTTGGGAGTGAGAATGTGTTGTTTAATCCAGCAAGCCCGTGAGGTTGCCGAGTCTGCGCTGAGCTAACGTTGATGCAATTTGACACCAGCAGGCAAAAAGCTCCAGAGTTGTTTAAAAAAACAAAGCTGTAAACAGGAGCAACCTAGAAGTTATTTTCGGTACCCCTAAGAAGCCTCTGTATCTTTTTTTTATTTTACTCTAACATCAGGTGAATAAGGACAGAAGAAGAAGAAGAAGAAAATATCATTTCTATAGTGCCTCTCAAGACAAAAATCACGAGGCGCTTCACAAAAACAAAAAAAAATGTAAAAATATAAAAAAGCATTTAGAAAATGTTTAAAAATATATTTAAAATGAGCAAAAAGAGACAATTGTGAAAAAATATATTAAGAAAGAGAGAGAGAATAGGAAAGAGGGAAATCAGCGGTTCCTGAGTGACAGAGGCTAATGCTGAGCTAACAATGCTAAGTCTGAATTAGAAGCAATTAGTTGGTTATAAAAATATTTAAAGCTACATTTTCAATTACTAGCAACACATTATTACAGTGAAATGTATGCATGAAGTGAATAATGAGTCAGTCATGGTGTTTTATTTTCATTAATGAGTTGTTCAGAACTATCACAGCAAGATAAAAGCAAGACAGCAAGCAACCACACACCCTCCAATGTTGGGGAAATATTACTGTAATAAGTGTCTTCAGCTTAACTTTAATAGTATACAACACTGGTTAGTTCATAATAAGTTGCTTTCAAACAAATCAAAATCTTAGCTGTTTCAAAGAAATCCATCTGCCTTGCATAGTGATTTAAATTTACGCTTCTTAGATCTGCCACGGCTGAAAGCTTCTGATTCTATTAAATATTTGGGCGTTTGGCTTGAGCCAGATTTGTCTTTCAAAAAACACATTCAGACAGTCACAAACAAGGTCAATTTTAACCTAAAAACTTCATTTCCATCAATCAGTTGTTTATACTTATGTGTAAGAAAACGTATTGCTACTCAGCTTGTTTTGATTGTTCAGATTTTTTACGCCATTTATTTTAGTTTATCTCTTTTTTTTCTTTTGCCCCATTGAGTTTTTATTTTAATGGAAACTGTTTTGTTATCTTTGTCTTTTTAATTTTCTTGGAACTTTAATACTTGTAGATGAGATGGTTCACCTCAAGTAGTTAATCCTCATACAATATAAATAAAATAAGTGCTCCCTACCGTAAAAGCCCCTAAAGCCGGGTGTACACTGTGTGACTTTTTCACTTTTTTGAGCCGATTTTCCAGTCGTGCGAGAATCCACGAGATCGGGGCGAGTTTTGCGCCGAGCGGTCGTGTAGTGTACAGGGGGTTACGAGAGGCAATTAACACCACGTGACCAGCTGCCGATCAGCAGTCGTGAGCTCGCACAAACTTCTTGCGTGTTTAATATTTCGCTCATCCCTCGTGAGGGTATCGCACTGTTGAAGCGGCGCTGCGAGCAGCTGCGACCCAAAAAGTACCAGAACCGCTCACGGCGCATGCGCAATCCTGCATTAACACCGCTCGCCCGCTATTTCCCTAATAACACACGTTGTTCGTTTCAATTTCTACATGTTTTTTTTACTCACAAAGATTGTCAAGAAAGCATGTTTGTCGTGTTCATGTCAAATTAAACTGATCACCAAACACAGATTTACTTTCTTTATTTCGTTTTCCTCATCCAACCCCCATAAATCCCTGTGTGTCCTCCTGCAGCACTCCCGAAGGACAACAGTGAAAACATGACAAAAAAGTCTGACGTGTTGGGTAAAAACTGCTATTTTTAGCATATTTTTAGGGCCGATGTGTTGCTACCAGACGTACAGTGTGAGCAGTCAGGTCACATCCGAGAACTGGGTCGTGCAGTGTGAGCGCCTGGCTTGTGAGATCTGCCCTGCGAGGAAGTCGTACAGT